ATTGTAAGAAGTTAGCACAACCATATAAGAATGTAAAATAAGGAAAGCCATTGTTTCTTAATATTGAGATTCTATATTTAGATATAGGTGCAAGGACATGTACTTATGACGAGGATTCGCTTACGTTTTCACAAAAAAAAGTAGGAGAATGGCAAACGGAGGGTGTGATGGAAACCATCTGCTTTAGACTTAAAACTTTGCGAGATATGTAAGCGCAATCTCACTACTCTTTGCGATCCCATATGGACACCAATGATATTCTACGCCGGCAAGTGTAGACAAACATAAAACAACAGTTATTAAAAAAAGAAAAAGGTATTTGGGTTGAATTCCTTGTCTTTCGACATTCCCATTGCATCTTTCTTTGAATCTTTATTACTTTTATTTTGTTATTATTTATTATGATTTTTATTTTTTAAGGGATAATTTGTAAAATACCCCCAAATTGAGATATACGCCAAGGTGCCCCTAAAAGATGTGGGTAGAGTGAAATGCCCCTCTCACAAAAAACATGTTTTGTCAAATACTCCTGGCATCGGTTGGACCCCCCAACTTTGCAAAGTGCCCCGATACTTGCTAATTTTTCCAAGGCCCAATTCCAAAAGGTTAAGGCCCAAACCGCGAGGTTCATATTGCAAATTTGCACACCCGTCTGACAAAGGCATAACACAAAGATTTCGGCTCAAAAGGGCATTCCGCTCTACCCACATCTTTCAGGGGCATTTTAGTATGTATCTCAACTAATGGGAGTGTTTTGCAAATTATTCTTTTTTTGAATAATGCAGAAACGCATTTTTTTCTCCCTCAATCTTTTGGGGGGGATTGAGTTTTGAATTTGTCATTTTAATTCATCCTTCCCTTTGTTTAATTCATGGATGAAATAAAAGAACTGGCAGCGAAACGAATTGGAATGAAACCATCAACCATTCTGATGTTTTTAAGTCTCCCTCCCCTCCATCATCCTCCCTGCTTGTGCTCCTCCCACCCCATCAGTCCTCATTTCTTCCTCTGCAGATCAAGCTGAATTTCCATCGTATAGGAAGATCAGACCTAAATTTTTGTGCAACTGTAGATTTGACTAGAAGGCAGGATACAAAGGCAAAGGAGACCACAAGTGCGAGGAGAAAAAAAAAAAAAAAAAAAAAAAAAAGGCAAGGAAGTTATTTCTGCCAAGTTGGGCCAGGAGCGAGATCCCACTACCGATGTATGTGGAGTAGTGTGATGGCTGCAGGACGTCCGGGCGACATCCGTGTGGCATCCTTTACTCCGCGGTTAGTGTTGAAAAAATATCAAAATGCCGCAATTCTGACAACCGAATGCTGTCCACCCGCCGCGAACTGCGGTCAGTTGTTAGGTTGTGGATCTTCTAACAATTCCGCTAGTATGTTGTGCATGTGCAGTGTGCTGGCAATGTGGAGTGCCCCTAGGGCGTGTAATTTGCCGACCCACAGGGCCTTGCCCGTCTCCATTACCTCTCAAGTGTCACTGAATCCGATGACACAACTTGGAAAGGTTTAGAGGCAGTGGTATTTGTTTTTTTTTGTTTTGTTTTTTTTTGTCAGAGGTTTAAGGGTGATCATTTTTCGTGATGGTGGGTCTTCCGGCCGTGTTTGTTGGCCACGGGAGGTGGGTGGCGACTGTTGTTTCCCCTGCTAGTATGAGGCGATGTGGAGGGCTGCAACGGTGGTCCGGGGACAGATCGTTGATCCGTTCCGCCTGGATGTTATCCATGGTCCCCGTGGGCCATCCTGCTTCAGGACCACGAAATTGACAACCAACAACGACTGATTAGACAAACCAAACTCGTATGCAAGCATGTTGGAGATTAGACAACAAACAAGTCGCTCCATATTCCGAACTGAGGACGCATATGTTGGGACTTGCAGCCACTGGGAGTGTTGGGAACTGCACAAGTGGTTATCGGGTAGCTGAAAATTCAGGAATGAAAATTATGAAGTGAGAGTTTTTGGCAGTCTGAAAATCCTAAATGGTCCTGAAGTGGGAAAAGGTCCGAAGACCCTGAAAACCGCCTCTTTAGGCAGGCTGCATCCTGAAGTGGTGAAGGGTGTTCTAAAGTGGTCAACTGAAAGTTTTGGGCAGTCTGAAAATCCTCAATGGTCCTGAAGTGGTGAAAGGTCCGAAGACTATGAAAACCACCCTTCACCGCTTGAGGATGCAGCATGCCTAAACAAGTGGTTTTCAGGGTCTTCGAAACTTTCACCACTTCAGGACCATTCAGGATTTTCATACCTGAAT